ATATTTTCTTTGATGATATTTGTTTGATCTTAGTGTTTTTTGTGATTGAGTTGTTTAATGTCTGATCACATGCTCCCTTAAGGCTCCTAGTCCGACATGATTTCTGATTAAGCTTGGAGTAGGATAGACATTAGGCTCTAAATTCAAGCATGATAACAATAGGTTAACTCCCTTGTAATCCTGGCCTTAGGGCCATTGTTGCATGATAACACGTAGGAATCAGTTTCCCTTAAATTTTTCATGCATCTTTCTCTCCTCCTTCTCATGACAATTTCAAAACACTTAATAAATACGATGTGCATTGTGCGCCACGAGCCTTAAGCACATGGGAAAAGATGAGCAGATGCATTTCTAACCTCATCTTAGGGTACTTTGTACACGATACATTTGGATTGTTAGCGCGAAGTATTCGATCCTATGTCATAGACTTTAGTGCAATTCACATCACAAACAAATTCAATCCACTTCTTTTAAGCCCTTTAACAGATCCATAACCTTTTCACTCGCACATATGCGATCGAGACCTTTTTCAAACCGTAGTCCCACGAACTACAAATGCTTTGATTCCTCATTCCCTAATGAGGATACATAGGCATGAGGATCCATATCCTTGGCGAGCATAGTAACAACTAATCCCTTTTTTTCTCGCCCCCCGTGCGATCGAAACCGACCAGATAATTGAGCATTTTCTCTCGCCCTAGCGCGATTGAGAACTTTTCCCAATCCATGGTTGTACCCACGAACTACAGGTGCTCTGACTTAATGAGGATATGTAGGCACAAGACGGTGAAGTCTTGGCGAGCAACCTTCCCTCATTCACCTATAGTCATTCGAACTACGTTGAATCTGAATTTTCCATTGCACAAGGGAATACGTAGGCCTAGGAAGACGAAGTCTTATCGAGTCTCCTTTTTTTCCCTTTCCCTTTCCATTTAGCAGTAGGCTTAGATAAGCACACCATTTGATTAGAACAAAAAGCATAAACCCCGTTGAGTATATTAGACGTGAGGGGGTGCTAATACCTTCCTCTTGCGTAGCCGACTCCCAAACCCAGGATTTGGTTGCGATGGCCATGTCTTCTCCCTTTTGAGGTTTCTTCGATCGACTCTTCGGGATAAATAACATTCGGTGGTGACATTGTTTTTTACGCCGGGTGTTTTTCGCAGTTGCAACAAGTTACCTCATATGCAAGGTGGTTATGATTCTATATGGGTGATTGTGGATCAGTTAAAAAAGTCCACACATTTCCTAGCGGTGAAGACTACTTATAAGGCAATTCATCTTGCACAGTTGTCTTTTGAAGAAATTGTGAGACTACATGGTGTCCCCTTTAGTATTGTTCCCGATAGAGATCCAAAGTTTACTTTAAGATTTTTGAGAGCTTTTCAACAAGCCATGGGATCTAAGTTGTGCTTAAGTACGTCAAATTATCCTCATACGAATGGTCATATGGAAAGGACGATACAGACGTTAGAAGACATGTTGAGAGCTTGTGTGCTTGAAAGTGGAGGAAACTGGAAAGAACTCTTGCCATTGTTGAATTTGCATACAAAAATAGTTACCACGCAAGTATCAGAATGACTCCTTACAAAGGTTTGTATGGAAGAAAGTGTAGAACACCTTTGTGTTGGACGAAAGTGGGCGAAGAACGGATTCTAGGACCGGAAATTATGCAAGAAACTACGGATAAGATAAGGATTATACGAGACAAGGTAAAGAAGGCAAAATTCGTCAAAAGAGTTATGCGGATAATAGAAGGAGACCTTTAGAATTTGAGGAAGGTGATCATGTATTTTTGAAGGTTACTCCAAAATTGAGGTTGAAAATACCGTTTAAATCACAGAAGTTAAGTTTGAGATATGTGGGACCATATTAGGTTCTAGAAAGGATTTGTGAAGTTGCCTACTGTTTGGCCTTACCGCCTTCTCTATCCAAGATGCATGATGTTTTCACGTGTCTCAACTCTGGAATTTCATTCCTAATCCTCTTCATCCTTTTCTTCCAGATTCAGTAGAGATAGAAGCAGATTTGACTTTTGAACCTCAACCAAGTCGTATTGTGGGAAAAGAAACTAAAATGTTAAGGAACAAGGAAATTCCTCTTGTTAAGGTTCAGTAGGACGAGACACATTCGGGTGATGCTACTTGGGAAATTTAGTCAGAGATGCGCGAAACTTATCCTCACCTTTTTCAGGTAATCTAAATTCGAGGACGAATTTTTATTTAAGGGGGGATATAATACCCCCTCTTATTCTAAAGTGCTTTAAATAATATTAGTTGAGATCAGGTTAGTTCCTATGTGCTCTAAGAATTATCAGTTTGGATAATTATAGTAACTAGTGAGCTTAGATTGATTTTATTAATATTATTTGACTCTGACCTTTTATTAATTTGTACAATTGTGACATTTTGGATAACACTAATATGAGATATTTTACCAATTAATATTGTTTTCTACCACATTTGTCAATTAGTCTTGCAACTTCTAATAATAGTTTATGTATTATTTTTACTTTTATTTCCTTTCCTTTTCAACTTTGTGGGAGTAAGACCTAAAAGAGAAAGATAGTAAGAATAGAGAGAAATAATAGAAAGAGGAGAAAAGGGAAAGAAAAATATAAAAAAACTAGAAGTGGGAGAAGAGGAAGTCTTCATCATTCATCATCTCATATTTATCAATCACAATTTCAACTTCTTCATCTTCATCTTAAGGTGGGTTCTAGGTAGATACACTAGGTTGAGATTTTTATAGATAGAGCTTTGTGATGTTGGATTTGGTAAGTTTTATTCCATTGCCATGACATACCATGATTCTTGTTGTGTTCCTGTTATTTGTGTTGAAATGTTACTTTAAATGATGTTTATTGGTAGGTTTTGAGACTTGTGTGGAATGGGGTTGAAAACAACTTTGATTATTGTTTGTTCAACACATTTTTCGACTAAAATTAACGCGGTCGCGCAACGACCCTCCGGCAAGCCAAACATGATATGCAACTCTGCTACGGTCACACAGTGAGCTGTAAGAGATCTCCTCTTCTTGGGTCGTTGTGAGGCATTTTGATTCTGCCTCTTATTCGTCCAAAACTTGCACAGCAAACTCAAAGCAAACAACCTCGCTTTCCCGTCGCACAATGAGCATGGCAGGGTTTGTTCCTCTTGTTTTGTTAATTGTTTGGTTGCTTCATACACATGTTTATTTGTATCATGGGTTATTTTAAATTGATTATTATGATGGATATGCATACTTACCATGATTGATCAATGAATTGTAATGATAATAACATGGTTGGAAAACCATAAAGGAATATGAGGAAACCCTTAATGGAAATTAAGGATATGACTTAGTAAGATGACTAGGACTTAATAGATGATTTAGATGACAATGCTTGTGAATTTGATGCCTAAGTGTGCATCTTTGACAAGTAGTTGTCTAGTGGTGAGGTGAGACATTATATGGAACATGTATTGGTTTTGTGTTGTTTGAGATTAAGGTGAATGTGTTTGTCTTGTGATTGTCGAATACAATCATGCTTTGTGTATTGGACCACGTAGTCGGAAATAAATCTTGAGATGTGTCGTCCTAAGATTCAATGTTTATGTAGAGCTTCTTTGGGATGTACGCACTATGACTTTGACATATTTGAGTCCTGTGTGTACGAATAGAGCCTACAGAAAAAATGCTTGAGATGGGGAGTGGTACCATGAGAAGTGACTATTCATGTGGGAAGAACCTTGAATCCGAATCCATTTTGTATGTCAAAGTAGTTACAAGGATCCGTGATCCGTGTCGATAGCTCTAGATGTAGGGTTGGCCGAGAGAAAATCATTGGTATGGTTTCTGACTACTAATAGTTTGAGTAGTTGAACTCAAGCGACATGTTGCAATAAAGTGCAAGTTTTGTGAATTCAAGTTTCTTCCCTTTTCCCTTGAGACTTGAAGTACTAGATGACTACAAATCTGTAGAGCCGAAAGAATTCAAAAGATAAGGAACTCATTGGAATTATTATCTCACTCCATGTTGTTGATTATTTTCAAGTAGTTCTGACTCAGCGAAGGGTAAGGACAAGATAGCTTGATGGTTCTTACTTATCTTGCTTTTTGGATGGTTTTTTTTGTTGCTAAGACTCTTGTTTTTAGATCATTCTTTAGTGATCTAATTCTTAGTTGTATTTTGAACATCTTTTATATATACAATGTGTTACGAATAACTTGTGTAATTCAATATCAAACTTTTGAACATGTATAATATAAAAAATTCTAAATATATATTATATGTAGATGTTACATTAATCCTAACTTGCCTTATATATGTAGGCGTTACATGAAGCCTAACTTGCCTTAGATAAAATCAATTCTGAATATCAATTATACTCAATAGCAATCAAACATGTGATAGTATATCTTTGATAAAGAGTTTAAAACCATATTTTCACATCCCAATACACCTCATTTTCAATATAAACTTGGTTTGTGATATTTTTAACTCATTTTCAAACACTTAAATAATCAATTTTAAAATGTAGAATTAATTCCAGGTGCTCTAAACTTTAAACTACATGCACTTAAAAATATATAATTAATTTTGAATTTTCTTTATAACAATTACTTTTGTCTCTAAAATTAATTTTTAAACTTAAACTTATTATTTAATTAATTTTAAAATATCACTTTTCAATGTTAATTAGTGCACTTCTTTTCCCTTGGAAGTTATGATTAGGTGTTAATTAGTGCAATTACATAAGTCAATTATATAGAATTGGTTTAATTAATTCAGTCCATAAAGCATATATGTGTATTAGATTTTGTACACCAATTTGGAAATGAAGGAAATAAATTTCTATGACATTTCAAATTTGAAACTTGAATATACTCATTTATAGAAATGTAGAATAATTACATTTGAAAAATAAAATATTCTTGCAAAATTAATTAAGCAGATGAACAAATTTTATATAAGAGAAACTAATTTTGGCTTAATTATCCATCTAGCTTCATTGAAATTAATTATTCATCCCTGTTGCATTCTTGACAGCTTCAGCAGCTGCTTGTGTCGTTTCCTTCACTTGCTGCCCAGCCTATATATAAGATAAATAAATAAAAAACATTACTTTTGAAGGGTTAAAAAATATAAAATAAAAATAAACTTATTAATACATAACGTGACTGAACCAAAAAGGCGACAATAAATTTAAATATAGTTATAATTGAAAATTTTATTAAAAATAAAAACCTCTTGTGCTGATTCTTTAGCTGATTGAGCAGCATTGCTAGCCTTGTCCATCATGGTGTTTGCCTTTTCCTACAACAACATGAAAAATATTAAGAGTTTGATCTATAAAACCAGCCGGTTATTGAGACATTTCAATTCATGTGAAAATAAATGTCGATGATTTAATCTTATAACAAATTTAAAAGATCTAAATTGTATTGATATTTTGATGCGACAAAGATTATAAATCTAAAATTCTAATTAGGGTTTAAAAAATACCTCAGCTTGGCCCTGGGCTTGTCCAGCATTGTAGTTCATCTTTTGTGAATCCATCTTCTATGAAAAAGTTGAGTTATAAAACTAAATGAAATATGAAATGAAGATTAAGTGTGTTTGTACTTTGTATGTTTGTGATGTTTATATCTCAACATGAATTGGAGTTTATATAGTTTCTCAAATCATTGCATTATTCAACACGTGTACAATTTGAGATTCACTATTTGCTCCTTCATAGACGTTTTCACAAGAGAACGTGTCATATGCTACTATTCTTAGAACAAATCTTAGGCATTTAATTGGTCAAAATTTGCATATATGTGTAGGAGAGTTATTGATCACAAGTCTAATCATTTTCCTTAATTAGACTAATTATTATAGAGAAATTTTAATTTTATGTTATGGCTGAAATCAGTAGTACAAACTTTATTCACTAATAGTAAAGAGATACTAAAAGTGTTTGGATTTAGGGGTGTATCTACAAACACTTTGACGGACAAGACAATGACTGAATGAGATAAAGAGGAATATTTTAAGTTTTAGAGAGTGTGTACATTGATTGTGACATTTATCCTCATATAGGTGGATTTTAGAGTTGTCAGGGATCCAAAATCTTTCTCACAATACAAGTGTCATAGTATTACTCGTTATGTCATCTGAAAATTTTCATTTAATCACACACTTTCATTAAGTGTATCCTTGGAGTAGAGCTTAAGATGCTCCCTAAGTCTCGGACCCCTTTTTTCTGACCTGCTTTCCTTTGTGATCCCTCGACCCAATCATTCCAAATTATATGCTCAACCATGAAACCTCAAGGAGATCTAAAAGAGCATATAAAATTGAGGGTAATTTCTTTCTTAGTTCAAGATGCAACAAAATATTGGTTGTACTATCTCCAACTAGGTTATATAGTAACTTGGAACAACATGAAAAAGTTTTCTGGAAAAGTTCTTTCCTGCATCCAGAGCTTTTTCAACCAGAAAAGAAATATGTGACATCAAGAAGATTCAATCATAATATTTTCATGAATAAAATAAGAGATTTAAGAAATTGTGTGCAAGTTGTCATCACCGTCAAACATTTGAACAATTTCTCATCCACTATTTCTATGAAGGGTTGATGTTTATAGATTGAAACAAAATGGATGTTTCTTGTCGACATACACTTATTGATAAAACACATATAGATGCAATAATAGTGATTGAAAACATGCCCCTTAACTCCAAATAATATAAGTAGAAGAAATTCAATGGTGATGGGAAAGGAAGTAAATGTGATAAAGCCACTAGCCATAAAAATATGGGGATAAAAATTGATGAACAAAGTGTCTTAATAAAAAAAAAGCAGAATGCTTTTGTGTCAAACTCAAACAATAAGAGTTTATGGTATTTTCACATTTGTAGAACGAACACCTTATAAATTCATGTCTTACTTGGAAAGAGGGTGATATTGTTGATAATCCTTAAGCATGCACAACCAACATTTAGAATCACAAGCCTCAATCCAACTATGATTTGTCTTTTCACAAGTAGAATTCCAGTTGGAGAAAACATCCATGAAGTTGTCTCTGCCTCACAGAATTTACTGGTTTATATTTTGTTTCTAGCCAATTTAGCTTTTGGTTTTTTTGTTGTGTCGTAATTGAGTCTCCTCACATGGTTGCGCATTTTAGGGTTAAGTTCTTAATCCATTTTACGCATACATAAATAAAAATGTTTGATTAATAGTCCTAGAAATACGCTTCTAGTCAAATAGTCAAAATTTTGAATCAAGAACCACATTTAAGAATGGTTCAAGTCATGCCAAGTTCAGACTAAGAATAACACTTAATTTTGATGAAAAATGGAAGTTTTTGAAGTATGATTCGAATAACATTATGTCATGACTCAAATTAAACTTTGTGAAAAAATTGGGATTTTTCTTTTACCAACTCGATTAGAATCACATGAACTGTCTGTCTCGAATCAAACATATTTCTTAAAAACATGATTTTGCTTTTGTCAATTTTATTCGAATTACTGCAGTGCATGACTCGAATCACATGTTTGGTTCGAATCACAAGCTTGCTTGATTTGAATGAAATCCAGACACAATATATTTTTAGTTTTGCAAATGAAATCTTTTCATCTTCATCCTCTTCCATTATCCATTTTTGTTTGGGTCTAGTTTTCGTCTTAGGGAGCGAGATCTGTGAAGAGGATCATTCTTATGACTAATGTTTTGTGAATATTTCTTGAGCATTTTAGGGGTTTAGGAACTTTTGTTCCTGAGGGAACATATGTTGGACACAATGGTGGTCTAACTGGTCCAACTTGTTAAACCAGTAAGACATCAAAATAACAGTAGTAATAACACAATGCAGAGATCAATAAAATAACACAGGAGATTGGTAATCCAGTTTGGTCAAATCACACCTACGTCTGGGGGCACTCTATCCAAGAAACGAAATTCACTACTTTGAATTGGTACAATTAGTATTATAGGAACATCATCCACATGATGTTCAATGCCTCTTCTTAATCCTAGTGAATATCTATTTAGGACTCCCCCTAAATATGAAAACGTCTCTCACTTTATCTCAATCAATAACCTCTAGTGGTCAACTTCAATAACAACTTTATTGATTGTTGAACTTACAGCTCAACTAAGACAAACAAACAACTATGTCAATTTACTGAAACATAGAGTGGTGTACATGTTTACCGTGAAAATTGGTAAACAACTGTTGGTCTTCCAAAAATGGTTTACTTGCAGTATCAACCAGTGAATCCTTAGGACATAGCTATTGCCAAAATAATTTCTAGAAATGTCAAGAACACTTCGACAACGCTCATGCTTGTGAAAAATGATTTATAAGTTTTGAAAAGATAAACTTGTAAAATTGTAAAGTTGCAATAAAAGGATAAAGTAAAAGTGTTTCAAAGTAAAAGTGTAGTAAAAAGGATAAATGGTAAATTGGAAGTAAATTTCTATTGAAATAAATGTGGTGTTTCAAATGTAAATTTCTCAATGAAAACTTTTTTCTCACTTGACTTAGATACTTTGAGTGATTTTTTGAGTATTTGTACAACAATAAACACACAAAATCCTAACACTAAGACACATATTTATAATATGTCAAAGAATAGCTGTCTTCAACGGATATTCCTCTAAAAATTGACACATTTTGCTCTACATGTCTTTATCTCACCACAGCTCTCCACGCATCCTCTTTGAGAAAAGGATAAGGACAAAAGACAGTTATTATCCGTATTTTGAATTTCAAACTTCTGTCAAAGGGAAGCCACATACACCCTTTGTTGAAGTTGTTGTCTAGACTTAGAAAATATTTCTAAGTGTCTTCCCAACATGTCCTCCTTATGAAGACCCTTTTCGACTAGGATTCTTGCACAGGCTCCTGTCGAATTCGACAACAACTCAAGAAACACTTGATTTTTATTTATTACCTTTAAACATGTCTTGGCATCGAAATTCCCACCCAACAAATTTCCCCCCAAAAATGTCATTTTTGACTAAAGGAAAAAGGGAATTTTTTGAAGTTCACATTTGACACCAAAAAACCCCTTTGTCTGCTATGTGTCGTACCTCAAAAAATACGATCCTCGCGATGGACGCAGAAAAATACGTTCGAACAGAGTCGCCACCGAACTTTATTCATTCCTAACGAAGAAATAGGAAAATATCGATAAAACCTTTGAAGAGATAAGAACATGGTCATCGCAACCAACATTCTAGGTTCGGGAGTCGATTACATGAGAGGAAGGCATTAGCACCCCTCACGTTCGTTGTACTCAACGAGAACCTCTTGATTCAATTTGTGAGAGAAAGTTAACTACGCTTGTTTATCTTCTAATGGAATTGCTTGCTAAGAGGAAAAGGTGGTTTTATAGATAGGGTGCTCGTCAAGGATTGGGGCCCTTGTGCCTACGTATCTTCACTTATAAGTAATGGAAAATCAGAGCATTTGTAGTTCGTGGGACTACGGGAAATGTGCTTTCCAAGATCATCGCAATCTTGTGCCTATGTATCTTACATTCAAAGAAGAATGAAGAATCATAGCGGCCGTAGTTCGGCCAACTACAGTAAAAGGTTTGTGTTTGGAATGAACGACAGTTTAGGTTGCATTCTAACTGCTAAACGTTGGCTAGTCTGCTCGCTAGGGGAGGCTGAAGCACTAGTTTGTTATGTATGGAAGAAAGGACTAAATAATGTTCTTTAAGAAGAGTGTTTGGGTTGGAAATCGTACGAGGGCGAGGAATTAGGTTTTGAGAAGTGTCAATCGTACGGGTGCGAGAAAGAGAGTTTAATGGGTTAAGTATTTGGTTTATACAAGAAGATAGGTTTGAATAGGTTTTAAGGTTTTAGTCGCACGGGGGCGAGGAATTATATTGGTTAGATGTATTGGATGTTTTGCTAGAGGTGACGATTACCTGAAGCTTAAGAAAGACTTCTCGGGCCCAAGTAACCTAGAGAGTGAACCAAAGACTTGAAGCTCTCTCTTTTTCAACCTCAAATACGAAAGGATAGGATGTAGTTCAAGTAGGTTAATCGGATGAAGATTACTTGAAGCTTAAGAAAGACTTCTCAGGCCCAAGTAATCAGGAGAGTGAACCAAAGACTTGGTGCTCTCTCTTTTTCATCTAAAAAGGAAGGAAATAGGTATGGTTCGTATAAGTTAATCGGATGACGATTACTCGAAGCTTAAGAAAGACTTCTCGGACCCAAGTAATCGGGAGAGTGAACCAAATACTTGGAGCTCTCTCTTTTTCATCCCAAAGAGTGGTTATGTTTGGAAGGCTTTGAACGATGGAATATGGTTTAAATGTTTCAGCAAATGAGGACTACTCAAAGCATAAGATAAACTTCTCGGACCTTAAATAATCGGAATGAGCCAAAGACTTGAGTCTTTCTTTTGTCATCTAATATTATGAAAGATCTTGGATATAATTAAAGTGTATTAATCAGATGAAAATTACTCGAAGCTTAAGAAATAATTCTCGGACCCAAGTAATCGGGAGAGTGAACCAAAGACTTGGAGCTCTCTCTTTTTCATCTAC